GAGAAGTGTTTTTTTATGTAGAACATGCAGTTCAAGAAGAAGAGGGCTTATTGGCTAGGAAGAATCTAGGCGTCTTCAGGGAAGACTCAGCTTTTAGGTTTGCAGGGTAGATGGAAGGGTCTTGTTTGTTTATCCCTTTGCCAGATTTTTGTTCCTTCCCTGTGGGAGAGTTGTATTTTAGGCCACCTCCAAACCTGGATCTCCACCCCTAGTCCCAGTGCTTTTTGGTCATTCTCTCTGTTTCTGCCAAATCGTATGGAGGAGGTCACAAGGCATTGCTAACGGGGTCCTTGACAAATGGGTCTTTATTTTAAATATAATCTGGGTCTCAAGTATAGTTTTTGGTCCTTCTGTCCTGCGAGGTATAGATCCAAACTACCGCTTTAACTCTCACATTCCCAATTCCATCCCCACTCTCCTTATTCTCGGAAGGCAAGCCTTACCCACATCTCCACTGAGATCAGTGTCACCCACTTTATCCCTTTGTTGCCTTCTTATTGGTGAAACAGCTCATATCACACCCTATTTTCCAAAATAGAATGTTCCCTTCTATTCATTCATCCTTCCTTTTCTTCCTGTCACAGGGCAAGAAATGGTAGGTTACCTTTTGAAGGTGGGGTGGGTGTGCTTTCTGGGCTCTTGGCATCATGCCTCTTGGTCATTTGTACTTTTTGTATCTTTAATGTCTCTCTTTTTGCCAGATTCTTTACCCTTCCACAAGAACTTTCATTGGTCCTGCTGTTGATTTAGACTATCTTCCATTAAAGCACTGGGCCAGCCCTTGTCATCCATCCATTTAATTCGCCAACCATCCATCCATCCAGTCTTGTAATCATTCATCTGTGTATCCATCCAACATTAACTGAGTGGTTACTGTGACATTATTTTGCATATCAGATAATTGAGCCCCAGAGAATCAGGAGAACCAAAGTCACAAAACTTGGCTATCATGAAGTGTATTTGGGTTTTGAATTCAGCTAGATGGGAGGGCCACTGTTGATTTCCTAAATGCCAAGTCGAATGGATGCTTTTTAGTTCTCATCTTACTTGATCTGTATAATCTTTGGGGTGAAGCATGACTTGGAAAAAAAGCACTAGAGGGATTATGCATTTAAGACTATGAAATAGGGTGCCTGGGTGGCTCAGTTGGTTAGGCGGCTGCCTTCGGCTCAGGTCATGATCCTGGAGTCCCTGGATCGAGTCCCGCATCGGGCTCCCTGCTCGGCGGGGAGTCTGCTTCTCCCTCTGACCCTCCCCCCTCTCATGTGCTCTCTCTCTCCTCTCATCCTCTCTCTCAAATAAATAAAAAAAAAAAAAATCTTTAAAAAAAAAATAAGACTATGAAATAGTAAATTTATATTTTAATTCTATGGTTGTCAGATTCAAACCTGTTTTATTCCACTGAGGCAAGCCCACTAAGCTACTAGCATGTGCAAGGACTAATTTTAAAATCTAAATTTGTTGATGAGAGCTTTGCTGTTTATATTGTCGGTTATGCACCAGGGAGAAGAATTCAAAGTGACACCAAATATGTGTGTGTTAAATAACACCATCTGCCCACTTGGATCTGTGCAGATATTTAAAAATACTGTGAGGTGCTGGCCCAAAGCCTGCTATGTTTCGGGATAAGGGGCAAATTATTTTGCTAACCCCAAATTAGAAGACTTAGTTTGAGGTTTAAGAAGGCTTCAAGTCCTTTCCTACTTTCTTTTGCTAGTTGCTCCTTAAACACGTATTAGAGTCCCCAGTACCCTATGGGGACATTCGTATAGTACAACGAAGGACCATGATAGATAAGAAGCCATCTACTGCTGTGAAAAAGACAGGCCTGAGAAGACCCTTCCCCACCCCCCAAATAGCTGCATGAATAACCCAGTCTTTACTGAGATCTGTTAATCCTGCGTTAGAAATACTGGGTGGAAGGTCTGTCTCGTATTATAATGCAAATACCTCATTAATATGAATCATTTAGAATGAATTATCCAGTCCCACTTGATAGACTACTTCTGGATTGGTTTTGATAGCTGAGAAAGCAAAGGGACTGCAGAGTCATCGGAAGGCACTAGGAAATAAAGATTTGAAAAGGGAAATGATAGGCTACATCTGTCTGTGTTTGAATGCGCAACAGAGTTACAAAAAGATGTCTTGTTGTAGAGACCTGGTGAGATTAGTGGCACAGAACTGGGGCTTTAGGCTGAGCGGCTACTTAATTTGCTGTGTGATTTTGGTCATTCCTCGTTCTTTCTTTTTTTTTTTTTTTTTAAGATTTTATTTATTTGACAGAGAGAGACACAGCGAGAGAGGGAACACAAGCAGGGGGAGTGGGAGAGGGAGAAGCAGGCTTCCCGCTGAACAGGGAGCCCGATGCGGAGCTTGATCCCAGGACGCTGGGATCATGACCTGAGCTGAAGGCAGACGCTTAACTGAGCCACCCAGGTGCCCCCATTCCTCATTGTTTAAATGGAGATCGTGCATGGTCCTTTAAGGTCCCTTTTAGTACTGACATTCTGTGATTCTTCTGCAGAAACTGAGAAATCTGGAGTTCCAAGGTGTGTGTGTGTGTGTGTGTGTGTGTGTGTGTGTGTGTGTGTGGTGATGGGTATAGGCTACGTCGGGAGCAACCTGTGAGAGGCGCTGTGGTCTGTGGCATGGACTGGTGGTATCGGGGCCACATGTGCATTATATAACCCTGGAGCACAGCTCTTGACTGGTGTGGAGCACTTCCTGTATGTGACTGTGAGTGAATGAACGAAGGCCTGGCAGGTGCCCAGCAGCATAATATAAAAAGCAGAGCAAAGGCTTAGGGCAACAAAAGCTCTCCGCCACAGTGATTGAGAGCCATTGCCAGTTCTGTGCCCAGTGTTCTTGGGTGTCTTGGAGACTCCTTCTCTTCTAATAAAGGCGAAGCCACGAATCTCTTAAGGGCTTTGTTGGGTGGGCAGAACTGAATGGTGAGCAGTACCCTTTTTCACAATGATTTCTCGGCTTTCAGCCAACAACTTAGTAACAGACAAGAAGATGCTGTACTAGCCTGAATCATAGACTAGTGAGAGTGGAGTGCATCAGTATGTCAGGTGTCCTGTGCAGGAGAGGTATGTATATCATCAATGTAAAAAATGGTAGCTCTGCGGTTACTTTTGAGAATGAAACATGTAATGGGCATTGAACTGGGGATTTTACATGGGGATTGAAACTAGGTGTTTTACATGGCTGTGAAAATGGAGGACCCTTGAGGATAAACAATGAATATGATTTCCACTTTAGAATTGAAGAAACTGATGTTCAAATAGGTGAAATAACTTGCCTAAGGTTACAGACTCCTTGGATTCATGGTTTGTAAATTTACCATTCTTGAGCTTTGTTCCTTCAAGCAAGATCTCTTATTCCTAGCATTCCAAATGTTATAAACTAGTTCTGTCCCTTTTTAGCTTTCATATCATATTCTCTTCCCTGTCTGCCCAGTGAAGTTACTTGAATGTCTTAACACATGAAAATTCATATAGTCAGAGGGGTAACTTTTTGGAATTAAGTTAAAGTTGTCATAGAATTGGAAACATTTGGTTTAATTGATGTCTCCTTCTGGTCATTCATAGATGTTCTTTTTGTCTTAAAAAAGGTTTTTTTTGTTTGTTTGCTTTTTTTTTTTTTTTTGTAGAACAGAAGAGAAAGAACATTGATTTTTATTTATTTATTTATTTTTAAAGATTTTATTTATTTATTTGAGAGAGAGAGAATGAGAGACAGAGAGCATGAGAGGGAGGAGGGTCAGAGGGAGAAGCAGACTCCCCGCCGAGCAGGGAGCCCGATGCGGGACTCGATCCCGGGACTCCAGGATCATGACCTGAGCCGAAGGCAGTCGCTTAACCAACTGAGCCACCCAGGCGCCCCAAGAACATTGATTTTTAAATAATAGCCCAAAGTCCATTCCAGAGTAGGTAATAAAATCTTGTTTTTTGTAAGCATAAAGATAATTAATTCTATGTTAGTTCCACATTCTGTATTATATTATAAAAATATGGTATAGTTAATCCTATGAGACTCTGGGATATAGTTGATTTTTAAATTTCTTCTGTGTGATGATTTGTGGCTGCTTAAGGAACAAATCCCAAATCAGGCAGAAAGGAGAAGAAAGAATGTGGGGGAGAGCAGCTTTGAACAGTGGTGGGAAAGTGTTTGCTGGAGGGACCAAGGTGCCAGGGAAGCAGGCTTGGGGGAGGTCGCTTGCTTTCCCAGTGCTTAGAAGTCATGATTGCAGCCTAGTTATATGAGTTTTATTGCTTCTTTCCTTTTATTAATGAAAATTATCTCTTTTCTCCTTGGCAATGCATAGTATATAATAATTGGTAAGCTGGTGAACTAGGAAACCTTAATGGTGTTCAACAGATGCTTATGTTTGTTTATAAAGCACTTCTTAGTAGGTGGGACATTGCTAAGTCTCTCAGTAGTGGAGTACCATCCATACAAGAAGTGGGATGCCTTTCATTCTTTCTGTAAAACCAGCATTTCTCTAAGGAAATGCTTGTTTTAAAAATAAAAATAAAATTTTGCTATCTTAAAAATTTTATGCAGTATGGCTTTATCAGAATGTAAGGTGCCAAGAATTGGAATATTTCATAAGCCATACTTCTAAAACTTGCTTATTTGTATACATTTCTGGAGTTGTCTTTCAGCCATGGTGATTTTGTTAGAATATTATGTAAATTTGGAGGAAAATAATATTGAGCAGCTCTTAACAGTGTTCTTTTATCCATGATTATAGTTATGGATTTTCTTTGAAAGCTAGTATTAAGTGGAGGGAACTACATTGAGAATTTAAAGTGTAATTGGTATTTTAATTTTATTAAACTCTTTAATTTTTAGAATAAAGCAAAATTTTTGGAGTAAAAATTAAGTATTTAAGGTAGATGTAATTAGTAAATGCAGCATATTTCATGGGCATGTGTACAAAATCATGAACAGTAACAAGGACCATAATCACTCTTTCAATTTTTCTATTCTAGATATTTGAATGGTGGTATTTTCGCAAGTATGGAACATCATTCATTGAACAAGTCTCAGTAAGCCACTTGCGCCCCCTCCTGGGAGGGGTTGACAACAACTCCTCCAACAATTCTAACTCCAGCAATGGGGACTCAGATTCCAACAGGCAGAGTGTCTCAGGTATGGAAAGTCCTTCAGCTTGAACATGATTTACTTATTTTTACTAAGTTATTATGACTATAAGGCAGTAATAATGTTATTTAAATATTAGTCTCTGGAGAAAAATGCAGTTTATTTTCCTAAGGTGTTGACAGCTTCTACCAGGGAAAAAGAATATAAGCATCACAAGGAAAGGAAATATTTATTTTGTTTAATTTTACTTTTTCTCTAATTTGGTTTAGCTAAGGATCATTTATATAGGTCAGTATTCCCAGCCTGAGTCTCTGGGCTCCTTGTCCCTAGTTTCTCGAACTTTATTGAATGTGTCCATTCTCTTCCATGCTAACTGCAGAACCTTCTGTCTAACTAGATGTGATCACATCACTCCTTTGCTTACAAGGCTGCCTTGGTTTCCATTCCACTGAAGATAAAGCCCAGATTCCTTAGCATAGCATAAGCTGCTTTCACCTTTCTTGCCAGCTTTGGCTTCAGTCACAATCCTGTCCCTCTACTTTTCATTTCTCGAACATGCCTTGTTTTCTCAAGGCCCCTTTCCTAGAAATCTGTTTCCCTCTCTCGTGCATTTGCCCATCTTTCGTAACCCAGCTCCAGTGTTACTTCCTGGGAAGCCTTCTCCGATAGGTTGTACCATATCTCTCCACCTTTGTTGACTTCTAACATTTTTATCTTTAGCAACATTTATCAAATCGCACTGTAATGTTTAAGCTGACTGCTTTATTGCAGTATTTCTAGCATTTTGCACAGTGTCTGCTCCATCATTGAAACTCAGTGAATGAACAAATGAGTGCATGCAAGGCCTGTAATTTCTCCATTCATAAAAGAAGAGGGAAGAATATGGTCTCTTAACTTGGTCTCTTTATCAGCTCAGTAAACATTTCCTAAGTCCTTAATATGAGCCTGGCCTTATACAGGTTCTTATGAATATTATGGTTGGGAAAAAAAGCCAAAGTCCTTGTCCTCATGGAACTCTCATGTCTACTGAAGGAGACACAGTGGTGAGTGCTGTGATTACATGAGGGAACATACAGTGCTATGGAGAACAAAGGAGGGGTTCCTGACCCAAGCTGGGGAAGAAGTTTGCTTCTTGAAGGGGAGGGCACTAGTTCTGATACTTGAAGGATGAAGAGGAAGAAATTAAAGAGCTAGATTAGATCTTTTTTTTTTCTTTCTCCTAGAATAACTCAGTCTATATTTCATAACTGTCTCACCAGGTGATAAGCATCAAGGAGCATTGCACATATATTTTATTCCTGTTGTTGATCTGGTCCCTTTCAATAGGCCCTTTGCCAGCCATCTGTGAGTGGCAGGGGGCACCACCAGGTACACATTTTTTTTTCCATCCTAAAGAGTACCAGAGATGGCACCACTCAGGTAACAGAATTGTCTGGGACTTTGAAAACTTACCCATTTTGTGAAAAACAGAGAGTTGAGCAAAGTGAAACATTAACCACTATTCTAACAAGTGTGGCACATTATTCTAATGTGGGGTCTTGATCATTCAGTCATCATCATATAAGACATTGTGGATAACTGCCCTCACTTTGCATCTGCTGTGAAGACCTCTTACCCAATTAGAGTTACTATAGTCTTTGAATGGTGTAAAACATTATAGGAATAACAGATTAGAAATGGAAAGCAGCCTTATTTGAGGCCATTCTTCATTGTGAGTACATTTTTATTTGCATTAAAATTCTCTCTCTACCCAATTTAAATTTCTTGACATCATTCCTTAATGCAATGAAGAATTCTTACTGTCACTATTATTTTGCTATCTCTCTTTATGGCTACCTTGAAGTAAGCCTTATGCATTATATAAATCTTGGTGTTATTCTTAGTGCTTTTATGGCAGTTTTAAAAGGGAGGACCTAAGCCCTTTATAAAAATATATTCAAAAATAATAATCATGGAAATTCCCAGTTGTATTTGTACTAAGTTTTTACCTGGCTAGGAATGAGTTTTTGAATATCATTATTAATTCAATTCCACTAGTATTTGCTGAATGTCTACTACTATGCATGCAATATTTCTATTCATTTCCTGTGTAATAGATACAGCATTTATGATCTGATCTCATAACAATGTTCAAATAGTTACATTTAGCAAAGGGGAAATTACCTTATCTAAGTATATTTAGGGCTCAGTCTGCCCCCTTCTCCTTGACAGTTGGGTTTCTAAAATTGGTCTAACTCAGCTCAACAAACATGTATGCCAGTATGAAAGTACCAGATGCAGTGGGACTAATACTATTTTCCACTTCTCTTTTCCTGTGGTGATTTTTATTTTTGAATAAGAAAAATACTATTAAAGTACATTGTCTTTTATCTCTACTCAATCACTTTCTATTAAATAGTCTGGTTTCAACTAAGTAAAGGAAAAAGAAAGTCTAAAGCTGAGGGTAATTAATAATACATTTCTTAAAATAGAGGAATTTGTTTAACAATTCCTATTCTCTTAATAATATTAAAATGGCTGTTGCCTTAATAACAAAAGGATGAATCTTTTGATTTTCTTGGAGAATGACAGACAGCTCTTTGGTGAATCTTACATGAAATACAACATGGCTAACAAAGTCCCACAGATATTGGCAAAGGCAGTTTAATTGCTTATTTGAGAAAAATCATTGAAAAAGCTTCAAAAACCCCTGAAAATACCAGTTATAAACATTGATCTATATGAAAACTCATAGTGTAGCTCTTTTCTTAAGGAATCATTTCTTTTGGTTAAGAGCTGAAAGACCTGGCCTACTTAAGAATGATTTGGGGTAGGGGAATGGGGAGTGGGAGGATTGTGATTGTTATGGGTGGGCTGTTCATACCTTCTTTAACTTTTGTTTCTGTACAAATTGGCCTGAGTGCAGACTCTTTTAAAATCTGTAGTAATGTTTATCTGTGGATCAGAGAAGAAATGTAGCTAACTATAAAGCTTCTTAAGCTAGCCAAATTTTAGGTTGTTTGGCTTAGGTTAACATTTATGAACATTTCATCTTTATGCTTTCTTGGGGAGCTAACCCACCATTTTTCGTCATAAACCCTGCTGATGTATTTGCTATGTCGCCATGTTCTCACTGCCATTTCTTAATTCAACTCAACTTATGAGCTGATGATGTATAGGGATTTAAAATGTGGCCAACTTTTCCCTGTCTGAAGGGAGGAAATTCTCAGGGACCAGTAATATTTTGAATTTGGGTTCATGGGAACATCTGTTTGATAATTTGTCCTGTTCTTGAGTAAGGTGTCATAAAGACAAAGGTTGGCAGCATTCATCTTCAAGATATTTGGAAAAGTGCAGGGTGCTTCAGCACATGAGAAGTATCCTTGTCAAAGTCAAGTTTAAATTCTCTTGGATACCTTAGTATCCTCTTGCATAGAACTGGATCTTTAGAAAAACTCTGGTTATAGTTGCTTCTCTTCCTGTCTCAAATCATTTCATTTTAGTCTCATTGAATCTTAATATATATCTTATATATGTACATAGTATGTATGAATATATATATGAGAAGCAGGTACTGTTATTATCTCTGTTATATGGTTGATGAAACTGAGGTATAGGCAAGTTAAGTCATCTGCCCAAGGTCAGTCCAAGGTCATATGGATGGTAACAGCCTAGGTGGTCTTGCTTTGGAGTCCAAAGTCTCAAGCCCCAACTAAAAAATTTAGTCTAGATCCTCTGTGAGGTCTATAAACTCAATACTAATGTAATTACTAAACTGGTGAAGTAAATAATTTCATTAAAAACCTGTACTACCATACATGACGTTATTTCAGAAGTGACACTAGCCAAACTTACTTAGAAACAGCTCAGTGGTAGGATTGCTGATGGTTGAGAGCTCAGGCTCTGGGGTCAGATAGATGTTGCCCTAATCTTGGCTCCATCACTTACAGTGTGTGACCTTGGGTGAGTCACTTAACCTTCCTTCGTATCTTAATTTGCATACATGGTAGTAACAACAGTATCTACTTCACAGAGTACTTTGAGGAATAAATGAGGTCATTCAGAAATAGCAAGTCAGAGGACAACCATCATCAGGCAGTGTCCTCCAGATGAACTGACATCTCTATGAATATGATGGGGACCAGCCCCATGGAGATATGGCTGTGGGTTCAATGAGGTTTACTCATCAGCTCAGTGACTCACTTTTATGCCCAGTCCTTTCAGTGCTTGCATTTCAAGGATATTCCTTGGCAAAACTGCAAATTGCTACATGTCCAGGACTTTTGGGGTTGCTCTTTAATCATCTCAATTAGGGGAACTCAGTTGTCCTTGCCACATCTATATGTGTTGAAGTGATTCTCTTAGCCAATGCTTATTACATCTTTTAAAATCTTTTGCTACTAAAATTTATGTTCTAGTATAGATTTGATCTCCAGTTGAATGGTGAAAATGCCTAAAACAGTTTTAGTCCCTGGTGAACCTTTATTTAATAAACTTATTTCACAATTTCCACATTATTTGGTTGAGTTGATTGACTTAGGTCAGAAATAATGGGAAATGTATGAGAGATACAATAAAGATTTAACCATCTTAGCAATACTTGAAGAGAGTAGTACACTGTCTTGAATAGAGCAGATCAATAAAAATGGTCTTGAAACTCATCATTTTTTATACCTATTCTCATTCTGTAGAATTTGAGAGAATAACATATTTGTTGAGTTGAAAGCTACCTACATATTACTTTGTGCCTTTACTACTACTTATTAAACTTCCAAAATAATTATTTCAAAGGTTATGAAAACAACTAAAGCCTAATTACTTAAGAGAATGGATATTGTTACTCTTTTTTTTTTTTTTTAAAGATTTTATTTATTTGACAGAGAGAGAGACACAGTGAGAGAGGGAACATAAGCAGGGGGAGTGGGAGAGGGAGAAGCAGGCTTCCCACGGAGCAGGGAGCCCGATGCGGGGCTCAATCCCAGGACCCTGGGATCATGACCTGAGCCGAAGGCAGACACTTAACGACTGAGCCACCCAGGTGCCCCGATATTGTTACTCTTTTTTTTTTTTTTTTAAAGATTTTTATTTATTTATTTGAGAGAGAGAGAATGAGAGAAAGCACATGAGAGGGGGGAGGGTCAGAGGGAGAAGCAGACTCCCCGCCGAGCAGGGAGCCCGACGCGGGACTCGATCCAGGGACTCCAGGATCATGACCTGAGCCGAAGGCAGTCGCCTAACCAACTGAGCCACCCAGGCGCCCCCGATATTGTTACTTTTAATGATTAAGAATAACTTGTATGAAATAGAGAATTGGGTATTCATTTCTGAGATATCAAAGCTAATAAATATATGGCAGAATCATGTGTCAGACATTGACTGGCTTGGGGTTAATCTTGATTGTCATAATACATCTGATGAAACTTTATCTAGGGCCCTTTTCTGTTGTACTTTGGAACCCAAATGTTTAAAAGTATTGTTTAAAAGTGCCTAACATTTCCCCAGAGGAGTTTTTGAAACTGTTTTTCTAGTGGAAAATTTAATTGATGAAGTCATAGGATTTTTGAGATATGATGTTGCAGGGTAATGGGTCTGTTGCATATAGCAGGTGGTTGTTGGTTAGTCTGGACACCAGCCCTTAATCTCATTTACTATGAACCATGGGGAAATTACATAGCTTTTCTATGCTTTACTCTTCTGTAGAAAGAGCCTACTATAGGCCCCTTACTAGTGTATGTAAGGAATATAGATGACTTGAGCTTTAAAACCTATTCTAGAAAGGCTCCACGAAAATCGGGCTGTTAGTTAGGACAAAGATTGCTATTGCTGCTATTTGTAATAATATTACCATCATTATTAGATTTTAGATTCTGGGAAGAGGTGGTAACTTTTTAGTAAAACAAATCTTCCTAGGCTGTGAATTAATAATGTATATATTTGAAGGCCCTGGAAGTGAAGATTTTATCTTTTTTTTTTTTTTTTTAATTTTTGGGACAAAAGGTTCTCAGAGTTAAATGAATTGGATGTAGAGAATAATATTTTCTTCCATGTAAATAAAAGCTCTGTGACTTCGGAGCCTCTTGGTTTTTCTGAGAATTAAGTTCTCATTTTCTTTGAGGACTGTGACAAAGGGAAAGTCTGTGGTTCTGTCAGTGCGTTATTCCTTCTATAGAGCTTCTTCAGCTGGATGCCCTTTCTATTTTTCTACCAAGGCTGTAAGCTCCTCTTTTTTTTTAATTTAATTTTTAAAATTTAATTTAATTTTATTACCCAGGGCCCAGCCTCGGGACTAATGCAAAATGCCATTCTATATATGTTTAAACCACACAGTCCTGTGAGCGGTGGGGTGGGGATTCTAGAGGTGTGACTGAGTACAAAAGGCATGATATAACTGTCACTGGGATGGCAAGTTTTAGTAGGGAATGGTGAGAGGGGAGGCTGAAGACAAGATTGGTGCTTGATTTTAGAAGTCCTTGGTGGCAGTAAGCATTATTATTATTTTTTTAATTTTCTTTGTCTCCCACATAAAAACTTACAATCATCCTGTTATCACAAAGGGGGAAATCTGTTCTGCAGACTTGGGGAACTAAACAAGTACTATTCCAATATTTAGTGCTTCTCTTCCTCTTGAACTACATTCTTGCATGCATGCTGAGGTCTGAATATGTCTGTCAGGATTTGTAGATAGAGACTCTTCTGTGGGCTGCTACAGAGGGAACCATAGACAGTATGTTTATTTTATTGGGGCATATTTTTAATTGGACTATTAATGTCAGCAAGCCCTTGATGGAGTCCCTGTCAACTCTTAGGTCTTCTAAAGGGTACCGAAATTGTTGATATTAATGGAGAATGCAAATTTCCTTTTGGAAGTAAAATTTTAATTCTGACTTAAAGAATTTATTTCTCAAAGACATGAATAAGGTAAGAAACTGGACCTCATGTGGAAAAATTTTTACCCTCTGGATATCTGAGTTGAACTTCTTGACTTAAATCTTCACATTCTAATACATTTGGCATTTACAACCTCTGTCCATATCACGAAACCATCAGGCAGTCTGATATTTATGGGTTATGTACTCTAGAGTAATTCCAGACCGAGTTTTTGTAGTAGTGGTAAGATTATGAAACAAAGTAGCAAAGAAGAAATTTAACATAGCTGTGACCTAATTTGAGGTAAAACTTGGATGTGTTCATATTCGACCTCTAGTTGCTTATTTCTTTAAAAAAATTATTCCGGTTTTGCACCAGTTTGAAGGATATAGCTAATGAAGACATTTCTTACATAGTTTTGTGTCACATATTTTTTCTCATTCAGAATATTTTACATTTGTTAAAGTTACTTAGACCCTCATTTCTAAGTTTCAGGGATAGTTAAAGAAACTGAGTACAGACCACATGTATGACACTAATATTAGCAGTGACTTTTTTAAAAGTTCAGTTTTCTGTTACAAGCTGTAAAAACATTTCAAAATGTTTGCGGCACCCCCTGCTGGCTATATTGTGGCACTTCCTAAATGAATATTGCATCTTTAGATACTGCTCAAAAATATTTTAGGTATATACACCATCTGTCTTGCAGTCATTTTTATTTAGAAATAATTTCTCTGTACCTCTGAAACAAATAATGCAATATATGTTAAGAAAAAAAAAAAAGAAGAAGAAGAAGAAGGTAGCGGGAGGGGAAGAATGAAGCGGGGGAAATCGGAGGGGTAGACGAACCATGAGAGACAATAGACTCTGAAAAACAAACTGAGGGTTCTAGAGGGGAGGGGGGTGGGAGGATGGGTTAGCCTGGTGGTGGGTATTGAGGAGGGCACGTTCTGCATGGAGCACTGGGTGTTGTGCACAAACAATGAATCATGGAACACTTCATCTAAAACTAATGATGTAATGTATGGGGATTAACATAAGAATAAAATTAAAAAAAAAAGAAATAATTTCATTTGTATCCAACATATAATAGAGTTGAAATTTTAGTTGAAGGTGTTTTGCTTTATAGTTTGTCATTTGTTATTTAAACAGTGCTTGTCCTTCGAGGCAAATAGAATAATGTATTCACTGGAGACAAATTATTTGCCATAACCTTTTTACTAATATTTCAGATGAAATTCAGTGGGGCAGAGGCATCTCCCCAAATGCTTCCATTTTCTTGCAAATAATGCCACCACGAGCATTCTTTGTACATAAATATGTGTGCATGTTTGTTATATGCTAAATTCTAACCTTGCAATATCCATAACGCTTTAAGAAGAGCACTTTGGATCTTAAAAGACATCCTCTGAGGAGATGGTGGGAATGATGGTTGTTTGGCTCACTGGTGTGATTCAAGCCCTGAGCTCTGATCGAGTTCATTAGTGACCCCTCTAAGGGCCTTTACATCTGGAAAAAGAGTAATTATTTGAGAAAAGCATAATTTTCTATTTAGTACCATATGAAGTGACAGCCATTGAATTTCAGTTTCTCAGGAACAAAATTCAAAGATGCTGAACTGAGCAAAGATCATTTCCTAAATGTCGAGTTAAGCTAAGTGTCAGAAAATTTAGCGCCATTATTTATAAACATTGAGCAAATTTTAGGCGGGCTCCAGTCCTAATTTAAAGATAAATTTACCTTCTTTAAATGAAAACATGTCTTCCTGTTATATGTATACCCTTCATTCACTATTTTAACAAGAATGTATTGAGATTACACACAGTGTTTCTACAGTGTTTTCTGTTCTTCATTTTCATGCTGTATTGTAATAGTGCTTTGCTTGTTTGTTTTCCCCATTGAGTGCTGAGTGCTCATTGGATGGATGGATGGTTGGATGGATGGATGGGTGGATGGGTGGAAGGATGGATGTTGCATATAATAGGACTGAGAATCTTAATGAATCACTCATGGCCTTTAATGTTCTTTTGATTTCTGCAATAATTGTTCACTTTTGTATATATATGTCTTTGGGTGTGTTTTTTGGTGGACTACACACACACAGATATTTTAAGTACTGTTAACTGATTTTATTTTCTAATAAAACATTATTCATTCAAAGAAATGTATTCTGAATCAGTAGAAAGTCTTAATCATAGGCTGTTTAAAAAGAATTATAGCTTATTAGTCACACACTTATAAGACAGTCTTAAAAATTAATGATTGACTTTTCTAAGTCCTGTGGTTCTAAATTTCTGCAGTCTTTGTATAAGAAAGATGTATAATCTATTATACATATACATTATACATCTACAACAATCTATTATACATCTATTATACATGCTAGAATTGTAATATTAGTATAATGGTTAATACATGTATCTATATAAGCAAATAGTGTTAATGCTTATATTTTCATAGCATTTCTCCCTAAAATACCTTTATTAATTTTCTAATTACTACTTTATGGCAATGTAAAAAGCAATCTGGTGAATTATCACAAGATCAGTATTAACAAAGATCCTAAATAAAAATCTCGGGCACTTGCATATTATACTCTAGAGCTTAAGTTAGGCTTATTTAGGAGTTATTTTAAGATATATTTTAGAGTAATAGAAAGTAGTTTTACTTCTTCCTATACCTTCTACCTGTAATTTTAGAAGTAAATTCATAGAATTTGTTTAGACCTCTTGATGACTATTGAAGTTATGAATTAGCTGATTTTAGCTTATACCTTAATTTAGCAAATGAGGAAGCTTAAGACCAGAAAGATTAGTAGGAGAAACTTTCCAAAGTCCTGGTGCCTGAGCTATGTTTCCTGATTTAGCCACTCAGAGTTTTTCCATATTGCTTCCCATGTAGAGGATAGAGAATAAAATTATCTTATCAAATGGCCAGGAAGGGTGGTTTGCTGAATTAATTAGCTTGTAATGTCTCTGGACTATGTGTAACATTTTCATATTTCTCTTTGTTGCAGAATGCAAAGTATGGCGAAATCCACTAAATTTATTTAGGGGTGCTGAATATAATCGGTAAGCGTTTTGACAGGTTGGGAAACAAATGGATCTAGTTCAGAGAGTAGACAGCAGCAAATGCTTTTGCTGGTTCATTTAGGGGTCATTGTAACAGTCTGGGTAGTGCTTCTATTTTTTGATACAATCCTCAAATGTTTTGATTTTTCTGTTTTATAAATATTTTTGGGATTGGAATTGGGATAACATATAAAGATGTGTAGTTTTTAGAAATTTTCTATTGCAGTTATTCATTTCATTATGCATTATACAGTCAAAATATTTTGAAGTTTACCTAGAACATGGTTATGAAGATGTCACAGGAGTTATGTTGGCATTTAATTTTGCAGAGTAATTAGGCATATCAGAATTTTCATGGCTTTTGGAAAATGTCCATGATATAATTAGGGAAAGTTTTCATTAGCTAGTGCTAGTAAAATTTTTAGACAAAAATATAGAGGAAGATGTTTACTTCTTTCCTGCTGATATACTTCCTAAAGGGAGAACAGGATGATTAAAAAATTTTTTTTCATTCATTGGCAAAGCTGTTTTAATATTCCAGTTAATGTTTTTCTAGTTCAACTCCTATGCAGCTTAATATTTTGTAGGTCTTGCTTTCTTCTCTCAAAGTGTCTGACCATCTATTTCCCCTTTACCAGGTATACTTGGGTGACAGGACGAGAGCCTTTGACTTACTATGACATGAATCTCTCTGCCCAAGACCACCAGACATTCTTTACTTGTGACTCAGACCACCTGCGTCCTGCAGATGCAAGTATGGACAATCTTTTATTATTTATTTTTATTTTTTAAAGAGTTTATTTATTTATTTGACAGAGAGAGAAACACAGCAAGAGAGGGAACACAAGCAGGGGGAGTAGGAGAGGGAGAAGCAGGCCTCCGGCCGAGCAGGGAACCCGATGCAGGGCTCGATCCCAGGACCCTGGGATCATGACCTGGGCCAAAGGCAGACGCTTAATGACTGAGCCACCCAGGCGCCCCTGGACAATCTTTTAGGTAGTTGCTGAGTGGAATGGCTTTTTGGTTTAAGTACTTAAGGTTACCACTTTTAGAATATCTGCTCTACAAAAACCCCAATATATAAAATATTAAATTGAAGATTGACTAGTGGAACCCAGAATTCTGATACTTAAGTAGAGGATTTATCACAATGAAGTATCAATGTAGAAACAAGTCTTCTTGTTATAACTTAAAACATCCTTTAAAAAAATATACTGACATTGGATTTACATATTTTAAGGAAATATAAATCTTATATAAGGCTAATTAAATCCTTGGTTGAGGTAGGATGAAGGGTCATGTCTCTTTGATGATATTATAATTAGAAATTGGGATTCAGTGAATCCAAATGATAAATGAATATATTGTAGTGATTTGTATGCCTATTTACAGGTTCACTATCACTGAATGGGGGGATGGCTTTAGCTATTAGAATCCATATTTGTTTTCCATCCTAGTAAAGGCTTTGTTTGGCATGCATTTCACATTGTTTGAGGTCCAAATAATTCCACTGATATTGTTTATATTACCAAACTTAAATAGGTGAAAAAAATCTTTAAAAAGGGGAATACGTACATGCACCTAAGAAACTAACTTAGAATATACGTATTTATAAAACAAATATGGAGATGGTTGCTCTTTTTTAAAAGGTACTCCTTGCCATGGTGGAACATAAATATTCCAGGCATTGAGCTTTCTACAATATATATAAAAACTGCTCTGGTATATAAAAACTGTGTTTGCAGCAAACTTTGGGAACAGATAGACATGTTAAGTAAAAGACTAAAGCACTTTTTTTTTTTCTGATCCAACTCCTAATTCTTCAAATGGTTTTAAAATGTCCTAATACCCAGAGCCTGTAGAGTTCGAGAAAATGATCAATAGAAATTATGTTGTGTCTAAGTAGAAGGAAGAGATTAGTAGTAATCTCATCTCAAAAGGGGTAAAATAATATATGTTTCTTAACAACAAATGACACTAATGAGCAAAAGAAATATTAAATCTCTTTTAGAATGTCTTATCCTTTCTTAAGAAACCTTAGTATGGTGAGCATAGCATAACATGTAGACTTGGAGAATCACCATGTTATACACTTGAAACTCCTGTAACATTGTATATCAACTAATACTTCAGTAAAAAAAAAAAAAGAAATCTTGATCAAGATTAAGTCTCTAAAATTATAGACCACATCTATAAGATTTAGATCTGTAATTTTATGAGCTCAAGAAAGGTTTTATATCATCTACTGAAGGACAGTGGAATAGCAAATTAGAATATTTGTGTGACTTTGGAGATTTGGGCTGACTTTTTTGGTAAGTGAAATACTGTCTTGTATTCAAGCTGAAAGCTATTAATTTAACTATTGTCCCATGTTGAGTCTTCCAAATTATGTATATTGATGGACTTGCTTTTTTCTCTTTTTCTAAAATAGTAATGCAGAAAGCCTGGAGAGAAAGAAACCCCCAAGCTAGAATTTCTGCAGCTCATGAAGCCTTAGAGATAAACGAGTAAGTGGGGGAAAATCTTGCTTTTAAAAAGGAAATCTCATCCTTTGATAAATGTATTCAGTTGCCACTAATAGAATACTTAAGTTAAATTATGCATTTGAACTTGAGGATTGTTTTGGGAGTTACTAATTTGTCAAAAAATTTTTTTGTGAAGGACATCCATGTGATGGTGGTTTTAGTCATCTTAGAGAGCAATTCAGTGGTTTTGCTATGACCCTAAATTAAATAGCTTCCAAGGGCTATTCCAAGGCCTCCAAGCCCTTTAAGGACTACCTGTGGGATATTGTAAGGGCTTAAAATAAATACAGTTCTTTATGTATCTAAAACATTGACAGGGAGATTTTTTTCAGATGTAGAATGCTCGTCTGTGCCATCACATTTTTTAGGTAGAGCTTCTGCTAGTGGGGAAAAGAGAACAAAAACATAAGGTGAAAAAAATTGCACTTTAAAAGTATTTCAAGATCAAGACAAAGATAAGACGAAATGCTGTTGTTAGTGTTGTCAAACATGCTGTGGGTTACCAAGGAAGGCTGGGAAATATCTTCTGGAGATCTCAGAAAATGGGAAAGAGTCTTAAAATTGGAGTCATAAAATCTCAGGGTTGGCAGAGGCCTTAAAGGTCATTTAGCTCAACCACCCATCTGGTGTTTGAATCACCTCGACACTCTCCCTGCCAAGTGGTCATTGTTAAACTATTTTATGATTTTTTTGAAGAAGGTTACAGAATCTTCATCAGAGGTCTTAGGAAAAAAGATTTACTTGAGAGTTGGAAATCCTGCCATTGTAACCTGTTGATCTATTTGGTTTCTGATTCTGTCATACAACATATTTATTTTCTAGTTTCTTGTCATCTACAAATTTGATATGCCTGCCTTCTGTGTGTCATCCATGTTTCTGATAAAAATGTCAGGATCAGGGACAGAACTCTGTGACATGACATATACAGACTATCCTCCAGGTTCATGTCTTCATGACTCATCATCCTTTGGTATTGTTCAACCAATTACTAAGCCACCCAAGTTACACTGTGACTCAGCTCATATTTCTGCATTTTGATCTTAAGAATGCCAGTTGTAGCTATGGATCTTTACTGTGTAGTAAATTCTTTAAAGTAAATTAAGCTAGCACAACCTGATTTATTTAGTCTTAGTGAATTAAAGCTAGCTTCTAGTGTTCACTACTTTCTTTTAAAAGTGCTTGGAGACCATCCCTTTAATAATCCATTAGAATATCTTTACAAGTCATTGTTCTGTAGTTTGGGAAGTCTGCCTTCTTCCCTTTTTGAACATTTTTACTGCATTTGTCATCTCATCTTCTAGCACCTGTCCATTCTTTGTGATTCCTTAACTATCCACAGAGAGCACTTCCCTTCCTATGGGGTCTGTTGGCTTCCTGGGATTTGCCCATCCCAGTACAGTAATTCATTTAGAATAGTTCAGTTATTTGCTATCTTACATCTTTTTACCCATGTTAGAGTTTAATTTCTTCTCCCTTTTTCAGCCCGACAATCATGCTCCTTGATAGAGAAACCAGGAAAAAAATAGGAGTTACAGAGTTTTGCTTTCTCTTTATTATCTGCTGCTACTAACTACAAACTTGTCTTGTTTTCATGTGGTTGTTGTGTTGTTTGTCTTTTTTGCTTATTTATTTTTGTGATGGTTATAGAGAAATGGGGGTGGTAATAGGGCTTTAAAAGTAATTTAAAAACAGGGAATAGATGGTTGTCTTTAGCATTTTGTTGTGTCTTTATTTTGCTTTGTAAGCTTAAGCTAATTCGGAATTTTAGCTCTCCTGACATTATTCCTATTAGCTCATTCCACTCTCTTGTAGTCCTTCATTACATGCCCTCTTTCCATCTTTTTTTACATGTCCTTTAAGAATCTGACCTTGTGAGAGATCTCTGTGCAGCCATATTGGTTACTTAATTGTCACCGCTCTTTTCTTCCTGAGAGGCTCATTTGTGACTATGGTCATAGTTGGACATTTGGAAGCTGCCCGACCCTCTTAAACCATTTTTTTCCTTCAGAGTCTCATGCCATTGAATCATACCTCTTTTCTTTGAAGTTTTGAAGTCCACATTACCCTCTCTGATTATCCTGAATCCAAAATGACATAGTAACTCTCTCTGAATGTTCCTATCAATTTTCATTTCACCAACTATTTTTTTCTTCTTGGTCAGAATTAGGTCCAGAGTTGAAGTTCCCCTAATTGCTTCCTCTACCATCTGGGAGATAAAATTGTTACCAAAGTAAGTCAAGAACCTGTCGGGTGCCCTACTTCTAACCAAATGAGACTTCTTCTAGCAGATATCTGGATGGTTGACACCCCCATCACCATACTTTCTTGCTTCTGTCTGTGTATTGTGTTGTGACAAGGATGCATCATCTATATCTTCCATCGAGCTGAGCCGTCGTTCTGTACTCCCCAACCATTAGCACTTCTATTGCTCTTTCTCCTTCACTCACAAGCTCTTAGCATGTTTCTACCCCAGACTCATGACTTTCCACATAGATACATGTTTTCTTGGCTAGTAGTGCTACTCTGCCTCTCCTCCTAAGAATACTATTTGAAATATAAAGAAAGAAAGCACGTAACTTGCCCCCACCTGTCTTGAATTCCCAGCCCAGCACCTATAATCTTATAACTAATTCCTCTGATACTATATCCACCACTCAGTATTATAATCTCAGTTTTCACTTCATTACCCTTGACCCATATTTATATGTCAGCATCTGAAGCCTTAAGTAGCGCTTCCTGATGCCTGTCCCAGTTATTTTCTCTAGTGAATCGCTGGGCAGTTTCAGCATCATTATTGTTCTTTCTAAGTCCTATATCTGCTGCCCTCCATAGTTAATTGGTTTTACAGCATTTTTCTGGGCATTTTTTCCCCCTGCTGCCCCACATTGTGTTTAAAGCCCCATTGATCAGTCCTGCATGAAATTAGAGGGACTGACCAAAGAATTGACAAGACTCCTCTTCAAGGCTAAGATTAACTAGTCACCCCAAACCTCCCATTGGCTATAAGTTCAGCCTCATTTTCCTAGCTGGGCTGTTGCAGTTTATGAATGGTAAAAGTAACATTTGGTTTCACTTTCTGTTTATTTTCTCTCTTGTGGTCTGATGGAGGTTCTGACAAGTAGGGCAATGACCACAAGAGAGGCAGTGGGGAAGAAGGAAAGCAGAGGGATCTAGGCAGATTGGGACCTGTATGGTCGACTCCGGCCTCACTGTTTCCTATCACATTCCCTTTCTTTGGCAGTCGGGTTGTTCTGGTATGATGGGGAAGGTTGGAATTTCCAAGAGTTCCCCTTGTTTGTTAGTTAACTGCTTATCCTTTCCAGCTTCCTAGCTTAGAGGTTGTTGAAAGGATTAAATGAGACGATATATGTTAAGTGCCTGGTACAGTGCTTACTATATACTGAGCAACAGGTGGTGGTAGCTATTACTGTTAAAGGTGTGAGATTGAACTCTTGTTCGCTGCTGAGGCTGAATCAGATTTTGAGCTCTTCAGAAATAACACTACCTGTAGGTTCTTCTAGTGTTCTTCTCTGACCCAGAAAATCAGTGCTGACTGTAATGAAATGTCGAAGCGCTGTTTTTTTTAATGAGTAATTGATCCGATTTAATGAACTTCTGATTCTGAAGAAATCCTTAGATTCCAGAGAATCCATGTTTAGTGAATAGAAGGAAACTTGTCTGTAGGATCTCTAACTTGGAGAGCTGGAAGGAGATCTTTCCCAACAGCTCTTGTCATTGCCATTGTCGGTTAACACTGATCGAGTATGTACCCCATGCCGGCTACTGTACTGAGCACTTCACATGCATCACCTTACTTAACCTTCGCAACAACACTGTGAACAAATCGATTTCATGATGTGCTCCATCAGGGAGGCAGAGTAATAACTTGCCCAAAGTGACACACTAATAAGGGGCAGAGTCCATTTGTGAGCCCCATGTTCCTAACACTACACATCCTACCTTTCAAGCTAAAATATAAGCATTTCTTTTGTGTCATTATTTTGTGTCAACAACTACAAACCAGGGGTGCATGAACCAGTTGGCCACTCTGCATGTTTCGGCATAACTCCTTGCCCTTCTGCATGCACTCCTCCAGCTGTGACAATGTCCTTGGATTTGTAATTGTGGCTATTATCTGAATGGACAGGTGTGCGACTGCTTATATTCTCTTGGCTGAAGAGGAAGCAACAACAATTGCGGAAGCAGAAAAGCTGTTCAAGCAGGCCCTGAAGGCTGGAGACGGCTGTTACCGGCGTTCTCAGCAGCTACAGCATCATGGATCCCAGTATGAAGCCCAACATAGTAAGGTTTTCTCTAGGCTGAACGTGTTGGGGGTCAGAACTGTAGCATGATTAATCAGAACAAATGTTCAGGCCAGTTCAAAATATGATTCTCAGAGATGAAAATAAAGACTAGTTTTTGCCTTTCTATTATTTTTTTCCCTTCCCATAAGAGTACAGTATATAATTAACTATAGCTTCATTACTGTTCACATTCATTTTCAGATTCTTTCCTGATCTTTAGATCCTTAACTCTAGAAATAAATGGTAATAACCTTTAATGGTAACCTTTTTTTCTCCTCAGAATTCTTATATGTTTCTGTTTATTAGTTGTTTCTCTGCCCCATAACCTAAGGCCTATTTGGGAAACAGGACTTAAATTTATGTTAATGTAATCAGAGGTTTTCTTTTACAAGTCTTCTACAGCATGGGTTGAAATAGGACAACTAAGAATATCACAGTTATTGGTGATTATCTCAGTATTTAGCGCATTGGTATCGGCTTCCAGAGATAAAAAGCCATGAGTTCGTAATTATTTATCTTTTTTATATTAAAAATAGTGGCTGCTTTTATTTAAGATAACTCTTTAAAATGAGGCCTTTCACTTTAGTACACTAAACAGAGGGTCAGTGATATTTTGGGGAAATGGTATAAAAACAAGACAAAAAAATTGTTTCTGGAATTCCTGGAGCTGCTGACTTGTCAGTTTTTTGGTTGTTTAAGTAGAAATTTAATAATCCTTTCATCGTCCATTCAGACTTTAGGTTGTTTCCTTAAAGTGGAATTTCTCACCTCATTTTCCCTTCCCGCATCTTGGAGAGTAGGATTGCATCTCCTTCATATTGAGATTATAAAATTAAATTTTAGTGTTAAACTTGGATTTGGTGCAGAGAATGAGTGCATTAGTCCTTATAACTAAGGTACAGCAAGATCTTTGATCTTTGTGTGTATACATGAGTATGTCCACACAACACAATAATACATGAGTTTTTATTTGCATTCTGCAGTATGTATGTTAATCAAGTCTCGAATCGCATATCTATTGCTTTTTAAAAAAATTATAACAATGAATTTTGAAGGCATTTGTATAGTAAGGTCTATTTGGTGAGCTAAATGAGAAATAACACATAAAATTACATTACCTATAATATAACTTAAGAAATTTTCTTTATTTCTTTTCTTCTGTAAATTAAATCCTTTCAACCTGTTGCCTAAATCTATCCAAAAAATATAATCACATCTTTAAAATAATTTGTAGGCACTTGGCAGATTTTCAGCACACATCTTGTTCTCATTGTTTAAAACTTGAAATGTTAGGACTTTGGTCTTAACATCTTTTAATAGCTGCATATTATACATGTACTTAATCTATAACAGGTGTGTCATATTTTTCTAAAACATGGTAATTTTATTGAGGATTAAATGCATGCATGTTCTCACTGGTCTAGAAACATATCCAAAATGACATATAATTAAATAAAAGATTAAGATGAGAAGTTGTTAATGTACTTTTTAAGAGCCGTTTTAGTGACTATTATTATAACTAGTTAGCTTGTCAGTGCTTTCTCTAACACTAGGGTAGTTTTCATTTTGTTGCGTACTCTATTGTCATATCTGGAATGTGTTATATTGCCATCTAAAATAGACTGCTTTGGGGACCTGGAGATGATTATGATGTCACTAGTTTTAGGGAAAGAATAATATAAAACAGAAGTTCAAGATGAGGCTTCTCCAGACTTAATGTCAAGAAGGAAAAAAAATAGTTCATCAGGATGCAACCTGAGATTCACCTCTTTGCATCTCTACCAAAAGCATGCAGACTTGAAGAATATGGAATTCTTGCTTGTAAACCACATTCAATGTGGGTATGTTCATTTTCCCAGCACTTTGTGGCAGATGATTTTATTTATCAAATAACTCAACATTCTAACTCAAAAGCATGGATTAGGTAATCAGTCACATGATTTGACCTTTGGAAATCTAAGTATTTTGACTACACTGTATGCATTTTACTATTAGCAAAGTTGTCAGTGCGCCTGGCAGTAAGAAAAAGCCAAAGGAGCGCTCTGTTCTCTCTGAGGTTTTCCTTTAAGGGCATGGCAAATGGGCCTCTGTATTTTTTTCTTGCTGCTCAGCTGAAAGCTTTTGTATTTTTAAATTTTGGTATTTTATATTTCCTTCTTCAGGACGAGATACTAATGTCTTGGTCTACATCAAAAGAAGGCTAGCAATGTGTGCCAGAAGACTCGGGAGGACCAGGGAAGCAGTGAAAATGATGAGAGATGTGAGTTTGAATTTGTGTTTGGGAACAGGAGCAATGTACCTGACTTCGAGAAGGAGGAGCCAACTGCATGGCCATAGCAGAGAGCGCCGGTGATGGTGCGGTGGTCCCATGGGTGCTGGAGCCGGCCAGTCTGGGCTTCAGCTCTAGCTCCCAGTGTGCTGGATGAGTGATCTTGGGCAAGTGACTCAACGGCTCTGGGCCTGCTTCCTCATCTATAAAATGGGAATAGATAACAAGAACTTTAACAATATTAATAACAAAAGCAATAACTGCTTAGGATTGTTGTGAAGATTAAATGAGCTAATACATGGAAAGCTGTCCATAGAGCGGCTGGCATATTAAGGAAATTCCAATACATGACCTTATTATTAAACCTCTGGAGCTGTAGCCAGAAGCCAAGAATGAGATCAGCCATTTTAGCTGACTTTTTTTGTGCATATTGGTGTTAGGAAGATTTGAATAAACTGGGTCTAATTGCTACTCTCAAATGTAATAATAGTATGATCTAATCTGATTGAAGTCATTTCAAGCATTTTCCTAGATTCTTGAATCAGGATATTTTATTAGTAGTAGTCAACACAAGAAGAGAGGAAATAGGTAAGAGTTTTAAAAGGAAAGAGAACCAAGGGAGATGATTATTCAGTAATCAAAACAGTAGTTTTAGGGGAAACCAGTAGAGGAACTTTTACTTCCACATTTTTTAAAATAAGAAATACTTTTTCATAAAGAAACTGACACCAGTAGAAATTGTATTTATAAACCATTTTCTTTTTAAAAACAATTTCAAAAGACTTTTGCCAATATTTCAGGCCTCTGCTGTCTTCCTGAAGTCAGGAGACAACAGGTAACCACCCCTTATAAAAATGAAAGAACCAAGGGTCAAGATAAGAGTGGTGTCTTGCCCAATTCTCAGCTTTTGGGTTTGAGAGCAGGACTGTGTAAACCTAGTGAGCCTTTTGTTGGTTTATCTTTGGAAGGGCAGTTATTCATACGAATCCCCAGTTACGCTGGCATGGGGGGGAGTTGCAGCTGCACTTCAGGCCCACCCCTAGTTATTTCTGTAAGTTGCAGCATAATGGGGAGGTCTGAGTGAGATCTGCGCCTGGGTTAGGCTCCTCCATTAAGCAGCAGGATAGCCCCCAGACCTGACGAGAGGAATGAGAGGAGGGGGATTCCAAGGTAATTCTGTTTGACTACAGGTGATAGATGCTCAATGGGCAAAGCTACTGCAAAGGGGATGTCCCAAGAGTAAATTCTTCTGGTTGAGGGAAGAATTGAAAGAATGCTTGTTTTACAGTATAAGTGCTAATTTTTATAAAAGGAGAGTTCTGTAGAGACATGAACTTGCTCTCAAAGCTTTTTAAGTTGCGGAAATTCCATCTTTTGATCTAGTGAAGAAACTCTACCAGTCAGTCCCTTTGTCTCTAAAGGAGCTGAGAATTTTATGAAGGATGGGGGTATTTATCTTTTTTTTTTTTTAAAGATTTATTTATTTATTTATTCATGTGTGTGAGAGAGAGAGAGAGAGAGAGAGAGAGAGAGAAAGGCAGAGGGAGAAGCAGGCTCCCTGCTCAGCAGGGAGCCCGACGCGGGACTCGATCCCAGGACCCCGGGATCATGACCTGAGCCGAAGGCAGACGCTTAACCATCTGAGCCACCCAGGCGTCCTGGGGGTATTTATCTTAAACTGGCCCAGCCACATTCAGCCTTTAACAAGGTGTTTTAAATTTATCGCTTCTTCTTAACCTTAGTTAGCCTGGGACAGGCATGCATGGAGGAGCAAATTTTGGTGATTTTCTTTATTATGTGCTTAAGCAACTTCACAGGAGAAACAAACTGGAGTGATTTCAATTCCAGTTTTTTTTCCTGTCAGTTTCATTCTGATGATCATCAATTTTGGTACCATTTCATATGATTAAGACCAGTGCAGCTATGCTGTGGTTCGACTTTTATTTAACATTATTTTATATTTACAATTCCATTTATTGTCTTAGTCCAAATTTAGATCTTGGGGGGAAATCTGGGATGCAGTGGAATAAATGCTGGGCAGAGAGTAAGAAAACCTAGATGTGAATCTCAGCTTTGCTCTTCACTAGCTCTGTGACCCAGGGCAACTTTCCTCCTTTATGGGCTTTTCATTTGTGTTCTGTAAATTGTGGTTAGTGCTTCTTACCTAAAAGGGTAATTGATGGAGCAGTGGAGAGAATGAAATAAAATAATATGAACACACTTGGCATATGGTAGACATGCTTACGTTTTCCCCCCTATTTTCTCTCCATTATGTAAGCATGATGTAATTTGCTTGCCCATTCCCCTGATGGGCATTTTGGAATATTTCTGATTTTTTTCTTCTTGAATGAATCAGTAAGTCAAGCAATCTCTCTTTCTCTCTCTATATGTATATATACATACACATACACAGATTTATATATGTGTGTATCTGTATGTATATATGTGTTTCTTGGTTATTTTCCTTAAAAAAATCAGTTATGTTATTGGAATACCAATACATGTTGCCTTTTTACTGGGTTTATAGATATGAGCCCTACTCTTGTAACAGTCCTGGGAGAGATACTGTTGGACATTGTGGAGATGTGTTTTGAAGAGAAATATTTATAGTGCTCTTTTCTTTACAAACTCCTGGCACCCAAATGGAGGAGCGGAGGTTGAGGATCCCTATGTCTGTTGAAGCTGCAGCTGGTCTCAGCCTTGTGGGAGACAATTGATGGTCAGGCCCGACTCCTCTCAGGTCAGGGGTCATCCATACATGGGAACTTCAGTGGGGGTTTACTCCTTTAATAACAGGCACATAAACCATTTTGCTGCAAAGGTTCCTATCAGAGGAACCTTTATCAGAAAACAGCACACTGGATTCCAGGCAGCCTGCTGATAAGCCACGGAGGCAGAAGGATCTAATTTCTCATTAAGACACAGCAATCCTACCCCATATGCATTGGTTGAAACTTCCCTAGAGCAGATTTTAAGGTGGAACTAGAAATGGTAGAGTCGGAATGCCTTCCGTGTAGAGTAGACTCTTCAGAACAATTCTCTGGAATCCCCTTAAGGAAGGGAGAACTGTTAATTGGTGAGATAGCCTGAAAGAGAATGAATGGGAATTCTGGGAAGTCCAACTGTAGATGATTATTGATCTAATAAAATATTGATACTGTAAGTAAATATTGATGAGGTAAGAACACGTAAGCTCCTTAATGTCAAGATTCATGGCTTCTAATTTTAAAAGCAACACATTAATATAAAAAAATAAAAGCAACACATTAATTATTTTGAATTCCCAAGATGTTTTCTCAAAAAACTCACTTTAATAAGCTTCCTTTTGCAGTCAAGAATATGGAGCACTTTATTGGAAGAATGTTTTGGCAGTGGGTAGAACTAAGAGAGCATGCTGGCTTTTGAATTTTACTATATGGTATTATTTATTATTCAAAATGAAAAGAGTTGCATTTTCTGCTTTCTTAAGTTGAAAGAAAAGTTTTTTTGCTTATTCTCATTTTAATCTTGCCTCTTTAACATTTGATATAGGACACAATTTTTTCTTTCTTTTTAACTTTTACTATTTTACTAACCTCAGCTTTTTTTGTTTGTTTTTTCCCCTAGTTTTCCTGGTCCCTATTGAGTAGATTTGGAATGGAATTCATAAGGCTCACTGTTTGGTCTGGCCCCTTAGCCATACCCTGTCAGAACTGGTGTAGAGAAACTGGTATGGGTGGGATTGCTTGCCCATATGAAAGAACCTAAGAGCTCCTCTTGTCCCAGGTCATTTGGTCTGGAGTAGGGCTCCTCAGTCTCCATTTTATTGACATTTTAGGCCATATAAGTTTTTGTTGTGGGTGTCCTTTGCATTGTAGGGTATTTAGCAGCATCCCTGACCTCTACCCACTAGATACCAGTAGCAGCCTGCCCCCTTGTTGCTCTCCAGTGTGACAACTAAAAATATCTCTAGCTATCTCCTGGGGGTGGGGGGCAAAATCATTCCCCATTAAGAACCACTGATTTGGAGAATCCTAAAGTGAGTGGATCTGTTTTGGGGCAGACATTCAGTTTTTATTCAGTCTTATTTGTTGGTAGTCTGATCTTCTACTATGAACACAGTGTTCTAAAGCATCTCTAGAATTGATCAGTTCCTGGGACCAGGCTGGTTTGGGAGCTGTTTGTCTTGGATGGGATTCCCTGAAGAGATACCCTGGGGGCATGAAGAGTAAATGAACTTGCAGATTTTGGTAGGGTCGTGGTTGGAGCAATGAGAGAAAAAGGAGAATGTGAAGGCCTGATGTGGGGTAGTGGTCTTTCTTGTTCCTTGTGCATACTTTCCGAGCACTATTTGCCACTTTTCCCTAAAATCTACAGCTCTTTTGAAAGTTGACCATATGCTCTCAGACTTTATCATCTGTTTCCCCTCTCTTTTGTAGTTTTCTGCAGACCTCTGTGTCATTCTTCCTCATTCTTCTTTCACTCTTTCTCTCTCCAGCACTACCTCTTTCAATATCCTGGCCTCTCATTTGACACAGGTCATCACAACCTTCTTGAAACATTTTATTTACTTGATTTTAGGAGATCATGCTCTCTTAGTTCTCCTAAAATGTCACAGTCCATAAGACAGCACCACCAACTAGGTGGCTCAAACAACAGAAATATATTCTCTCACAATCATGATATCAGAAGTCTGAAATTGAGGTGTGGGCAGGGCCATACTCTCTTTGAAGGTTCTAGGAAAGTGTCCTTTCTTGCTGGCCATCCTTGGCATTCCTTGACTTATAGGCATATCACTCCAATCTCTGCCTCATGTGGCATTCTTTCTTCTTGTTTATCTGTGTCTTTGTGGTCAAATTTCCATCTTCTCATAAGGACATCAATCATGTTGGATTTAAAATTGGGTATATGACCTCATCCTAATTTGATACATCCACAGAGACCCTATTTCCAAATAAAGTCACATTCACAGAAACCAGGGGTTAGGACTTCAGAATTTCTTTTTGGAGGAC